CCGGTTCCAGTACCATCTCACCGCCAATGGAATCACTGAAGCGAGGCGAGTTAAGGCCACATTCCTCAGCCTTTTTGGGCACATTTGAGACCGCCTGGGCCCTTGTGGCACCACAAGACCTCGATGAGGTGCCCTTTACCACAATCAAACCCAAGCTGCGAGACCATTTCTCGCCTCGTCCACTCAGAATAACAATATTGGAAAAAAATACTCAAAATCATACGAGAAGTATTTAAAATAAATCTACCTATGAAACCTGAAAGATATTTATTAAACATGATCCTGGACAATATAAAAAATCACAAGGTAATAATAATATATATATTAACAGCAGCAAGAATATTGATAGCAAGACGGTGGAAATCAAAACATATACCATCGATAAAAGAACTCAAACATAAGATTTTAGACATTGCAGAATTGGATAAACTGAGCTTAGAATTGAAAAACAAATCAGAGAATGTATTTTGGAAAAGATGGAAGTATATATACGACTGGCTAAAATATAAAAGAAGAGTATAATGTGTGGACAAAGCGCTAGTGAAAATATTATAATTTGAAACCAACAATCTATGGAGATGTATAAATGTTTGATGAATTATCTTATACTATATATATGGAATGTAAAGGTGAAAACTTGGAAAATAAATTTATAAAAAAAACAAACCCAAGCTGTGAGACCATTTCACGCCTCGTCCACTCAGAATCACCTGCCGGCACGCCTTTTACAAAAAGGACCAAGCCCAGGGAGAGTCAATCACTGCCTTTGTGACCACCCTCTGGAAGGTGTCGTGCCATTGTGAGTTCTCCAACTTAGAGGAGGTTCTCTGCGATCGATTGGTGTGCAGCCTTCAAGATGAGAAACTGCAGCGACGGCTCTTTGTGAAGCGAGATTTGGACTTTAAGGCAGCCTATGAGGAGGCCATTGCCACCGAGGCAGCTGAACACTTGACAAAAGGGGTCTACCAGACGTGGAGTCCATCTCTTCCCTGCAAGACCGAGGCCATTCACCAGGGAAGCCTCGGGGACCCCTCCTCCACCGATGACGAAGAGGAGGAAGTACTATACACCCAAGATGCCAACCAGAAGTATGACGGAGCTCAGCCCTCCTACTGGGCTCCTTGCGCCGGCTGTGGCAGCTCCCATTAGCGGAAATCATGCCGGTTCTGGGACGCACCATGTCGGAACGGTGGAAAATCGGGGCACATCGCACACGCCTGCTGTTCCGCCCTGCCCAAGAACACATCGCCATGGTTGAGACACAGGACACTGCCCATTGCAAGGAAGGCCTCTGTCTGCCATGAAGAGTGCCACCTCTCACTCCGCTCTGCTGGCCGAGACCAACAGCATCCCCGTCCTGGTGCTGCAGCCACCGATATGCGGTAAGATCAAGGTGATGATGACGGTCCAGAACGTGCCCTGTGAGACAGTAGTCGACACTGGGGTCTGAACTGTCCATCGCCACAAGAATGTTTCGGCGCATTTCCCCTAAGTCGAATTGACACTGCCTCGAACTGTTTGACTTGCTCCTGAGTACTAGTGTGTGCTAACTAAATAGGCACAGCTGCTTTGCACCCATTGCAGCACAGTTTGGACAAGGTGCTTAAGCCTGCACAAAACTGCTTTGCCTCACCAGCTTCATGTTTAAATTAGGCGTCAGAAACCAAGCTTCTGGGTGGGAACTAAACTTCTCCCTTCAGCCACCACCAACTTACTAGAGCAGGAGTCCCTGCACTCTTTGAGCCTGCATGCACATTTGGAATGCTGACAGGGCAAGGTGGTTGCATGGTTGCAACAACAAAATGGCTGCAACAGAAGGCTGCCACAGCTTGACTTTAGTCACACAGTGCAGATCCTTGTGCTGCCAAAGAACATTTATAAAATCTGCTGGGCCCTACCTGGCCCTGCCCACTTCCTAAAAGCTGTGGAGTCCTGTGAGCAAAAATGCTACTTTGTGAGCTACTGGCATTAAAGTTGTGAGTGAGCAATTTGGCCACTGCATAAATTAGTTTGCTGTGGAGCCATCCTTCCTGAGCTAAGACAGAAATGTGTGAGCCAGGGGCTGTGAGGTAGCTCACACTGACTCGGCTTTGAGGGACCACTGTTGGCGAGTGCCAGAAAAGGTGTCGGTGGGTGCCCACGGGCACTGTGTTGGGGACCCTTGAACTAGAGGAAGGGAAGACCAGTTAGGAAGTAGCTAAGTACGCTGAGAAATTGCATTAAAACAGGAGGAATCTTTTTAAAGGGGCAGTAAATTTGTGAAGGTGAAATTGTGCTTCTGTCAGTCCCTGCATGTGGACAATTGGTGCCTCGCGTGAAAAAAGCTGGTTCTATACAACCATTTAAAATTGCCATGGTTTCTTCTCAGTGTTTGTATGAAGGACTTAGATGATATCACAGTCAATGCTCTACATTAAAGCGATTTGTTGTTTCCCCCTGTTTTTCAGACCTGTTGCAATGATCGTTTTCCCCCCTTAAACACAAGTGCAGTGCCAGGTGGCCGGTCACGTGAAGTGTTCAAGGGTTACATGTTTAAATCCTTTGCCATTACACTTTTTAAATGTGTCAGATTCTCAATGCTTTATTACTTCCACTCCTGCAGTGCTTAAGTGAATCTTTTTCCTTGGGGAAGGGGGAATTTTAATTACTCCTTTTTTTACCCCTTTCCATTTAAAAAAGTTAGATTTGCTGCAAAGACACTTCCTCTGGTCTCCTTAAAACCTCCTTGGCTCTACTGTTTTAAAACAGCTTCAATTATTCATAATTCTTTATTAATTACTTCCTGGTCACTGTATATCTGGAAGTTTTCTTAATCGGTTCCTTTCTGCAGTCATGGAATAAAAGGACACATTCTCTTACGGATTAAAAATTGGTTAAATGACAGGAAGCAAAGAATAGGAAAAATGGGCAGTTCTCACAATGGAAGGAAGAAGAAGAAGAAGAGGAGATTGGATTTATACCCCGCCCTTCACTACCCAAAGGTGTCTCAGAGCGGCTTACAAGCTCCTTTCCCTTCCTTTCCCCACAACAGACACCCTGTGAGGTAGGCGGGGCTGAGAGAGCTCTTGACAGAAACTGCTCTTTTCCAAGAACAGCTCTTACCAGAGCTATGGCTTGCCCAAGGTCATCCAGCCAGGTGCAAGTGGAGGAGTGGGGAATCAAACCTGGTTCTCCCAGATTAGAGTCTGCGCACTTAACCACTACACCAAACAAAAAGGAAGCAGTGGGGTCCCCCAAGTATCAGTACTGGGACTCGGACTATGTAATTCGTTCATAAATGATCTGGAACTAGCTATGAGTAGTGGCCAAGTTTGCGCATGACACAAAATTATTCAGAATGGTGAAAACCAAGGATGACTGTGAAGAGCTCCAGGGGGATCTGCACAAATTGGGTGAGTGGACAACAATATGACATATGAAACTCAATGTTGGTAAGTATAAGGTGATACAAGCTGGAACAAAAATCCCAGCTTCATATATAGGCTAATGAGATCTGAATATGCTGAGACCGAGAGGAAGTGTCAACCCAGTGTGCTGCAGAGGTGAAAACGAAAACTCTGTGTTAGGGATTATTAGGAAAGGGATTGAAAATAAAACTCCTGGTATTATAATGCCCCTGTATAGATCTATGGTGCAGTTCTGGTCACTGCAGAGCTGGGAAAAGTGCAGAAGAGGGCTACCAAGATGATTAGGAAATTGAAGCACCTTCCCTATGAGGAAAGGCTGAAGAGTCTGTGACTTCAGTTTAGAAAAGAGATGACTAAGAAGGAATATGATAGAGGTTTACATAATTATGCATGAGTTGGAGACAACTGACGAAGGGAATTCTTTCTCCTCCTTCCAAAATACTAGAACTTGAGGGCATCAGTTGAAACTGATGAGCAGTAGATTCAGGATGGACAAAAAGAAATACTTCTTTACACAGAAAGTAATTAAAACATGGAATTTGCTAACAGAGGATGCAGTAATGGCCACAGGCATGGACAGCTTTAAAAGGGGATTGGGTAGATTCATGGACCATACGCCTGTCAGTGGCTACTAGCCATGGTGACTGAGGGGAACCTCCACATTCACAGACACTAAACCTCTGAATCCCAGAGCCAGGAGGCAACCTCAGGGGAAGGCCTCGGCCTCTATGCCCTGGTGTCGGACCTTCAGAGGAACTGGCTGGCCATCCTGTAAGCCAGGGTGTTGGACCAGATGGGCCACTGGTTTGATTCAGCAGGGCTCTTCTTATGTTCTTATGCAAAGGAAACAGGTTTCTCAAGGGCAGACTGAGATTTAAACCTTACTCTCACAGGTCCAACAATCTAACCACTACACCACACTGGTGATTAATATTAGGTTGACCAACCATTTATATTGCTGACTAAGCATCCCCATAGCTGGAGCCCTGGCCCAGAAGCAATACACAAACAGTATTTTGGAATCTACCAAAAATTTTTTTTTTAAAGTAAATGACACAGAAAATGCTGAAGGATGCCATTTACATCATTTGAGTTTCCTTGTGAAAAATCCAGAGAGGAACAGTTGTCTGCTATTCTGTGTTACCGTACCAGGGAGTAAGCCTTACTACCCACTGAACAGGTAAGGGTTGCCAGCCTCCAGTTGGAGCCTGGAGATCTCCCGCTTTTACAACTGATCCCCAGCTGACAGAGATCAGTTCCCCCGGAGAAAATGGCTGCTTTGAAGGGTGGACTTTATGGCATTGTAACCATGCTGAGGCCCTTCCCCAAACCCCGCCCTCTCCCGGATCCACCCCCAAAGACTCCAGGTATTTTCCAACCCAGAGTTGGCAACCTTAGCAACAGGCAAAGACTTGGGATTTTTGGGGGGGGGGGGGGGGGAGGCACACTCCCAGTCTGCCTCTGACCCTTCAGCTTCGTCTGTTCAGTCCTGCGCTACTAGCCTTGCTCGGAGGGCCGACTGAAAGGCGGGTCCGTGGCGGAGGCGCTCTTCTCCTCTAGGGGCGCTGTCTCGTAGCGGATGTCGCCCCAAAACGGCAGGAAGTGCGACGAAGCACTTCCCTTGAAGCCACTCGCGCGGTGTCCGGCGACGGCGGAAAGGGACACGTAGCGTGGAGCTCGGCCGTGTCATCCCGAACCGCTAGGTGAGTCGAGGGAGCAGGCGCTGTCCCGCGTGTTCCCCGGTCTCCTCTGCAGACGCGGGGCGGGGCGGGGTAAGCCGTCCAGGAGAGCCCGAAGCCGTCTCCGAGCGAGGCAGCCGGCAGGGAGTCCCACCACGGAGGCGCTTCGCAGCTGCATGAAAGGGGGCGATCGCTGGATCGGCTAACCCTCTTAACACCCCGCCCGCTTCTCTCCCCCGAAGGATGGTGACCGACGTGCAATTGGCCATCTTCGCCAACATGCTGGGCGTGTCGCTCTTCCTGCTCGTCGTCCTCTACCACTATGTGGCCGTCAACAACCCCAAGAAGCAGGAGTGACGATTCCAACCCCCCCGCCACCCCCCCAAGCAGGTCAGTCGGTTGTCAGCGCCCCTTCCCCTCTTCCCATTTGGCTGGCACAACTGCCCCCCTCAACCCCTCCTCCCTTCCTTTTGGCAGAGCAGAGACCGCCAGCGTCATGCCCCAGCGAACGACAACAGCCTCTTCCCTGCGCCCTCGGACAAGAACGAGCCACCCGTAGCTGTGAGGGGGCAGCCTGGGACTGAAAGCCAGGGGCGGCGCAGCAGGGCAGAATGGGCCTCTCTCCTTTTTTTGTCAAACAAAATTTATTAATAGAAACATGTTACAAGACAATCTGGTTTCAAAAATAGCTTCCAACCCAGTAACCAACTATATACAGCTGCAGAAATGGCCTTAAGGTGGTGGTGACCTCTCCACCCCTGAACCTGGGGGAAGAGGGGAGGCTGGCTGTGTGATGAATTGGCCTTTTAAAGAGACGCCAAACACAACTTTCCGAGGTTTGCTGACTGGGATGATCTCATTGCGGTCCCTAGAAGGAGCCTTTTTGCCTCCTCATGCTGGAACATCCGTGATGCAGATAGAACTCCAGGCCCTGGTGCAGGTAGCTGAGAAAGGGACTCCAGGAAGACTGGCCAGGCTGTACTCTTTAGGCCGTGGGTGCCTTGTGCCGCTGACTGCAAGCAGAGTGTGGAAGGGGGCTCTTGCACCTGGAAGGCTGGCTCCAAGCCTGCACCGGCTGCTGGGGCTGAAAGAGCAGCTTTGGTTTAAAAGGACAGGGGTAGGAGGGGGGCGACGGATGGGCCAGGAACTTGCTGGATGTCAGCAGGCAGGGTGTCTCGACAGGTCTCTCCCACCGTGAGGAGTCCGGTGGAGTCGTCTGGTGCCTGGCATGCTGTGGGGTGGAGGCTCCCGAGGAGCTGGAAGAGGTTGGCCGCAGCTGCTGCGTCCCCCCTGGCAAGTCAGGCCTCTGTGCAGAAAGACAGGATCTTGTGGTAGGTGAGCTGGGGGGACTCTGCACGCCCCGGGAGATGCTGCAACAGAGAGAGCTGCCTCAGGGGACTTGCAAAGGCGAAGGCTGCCCTCATGCTTTCCAGGGGGAGGGGGGCAGGTGCTGCCCACGTCTCATGGAGTGCACTTCTTCTTCCGCTGCCTATGGGACAGGTGCTCAAGTGGAGGGCAGTGGCTGCAGATGAGGGATGCTGCAGCAGCTTCCTCGGCAGAGCTCCCCCCTCCCCGTACCTCGTCCAACAAAACCTTGGGAGTGTTGCACAGAAAAAGCGGCTCTTCCCTCCGGTTCGTTACAGTCAGCTCTGGCACTTCCAGCGGGAACTCTGGAGGAAGGGGGGGAGAGGAGGAGAGTGTGGATGGGCCTGCCAGCAGCAGTGGGACCCCAGAAGAATTTAGGGTGTGAAGCTAATGACAGTGTCACTGTTAGAGGCACAGCATGCTTGACTGCAGGGCCGCTCCCCGCTGTGCAGGAACGTACCTGGCAGAGAATTCTGCGCTGGCACCTGCGAGGGTGCGTATTTCCACACCTTGAGAGAGGAGTCATTGCTGCAGCTCTGAAGCCTGAGCAGATGCTGGGCTTGGGTTTTCCTGCGGATGGGGATCCGGCTGGGTCGAGGTACCAGAATCTCCAGGCTGAAGGGACAGCAAGAGCAGAAGCACTGACACAACAGGCCTCCAGTCCGTACGGTCAGACACCCCTGGGAAGGTGTACTATTGGCTCTTAGTTCCTTGAGTGTGGGGAGGGGGATGTGGGAATGCACACTCCCCAGGATGGCCCTTTCAGACAGTCAGTGGCACAACAGGGAAACCAAGGAGCTCCTGCTGCGACCTCCACTGGGCATGAACACTGGATTACTCTTGTCACGCATCAGTTACCTGGATGGCTCTTGCAGCTTCTCACTGTTCAGTCGCCTTGAGAGATTCTGTAGACACAGAGAGAGAGAGAGAAAAGTCAGGAGGGAGGCAGCACACAAGCCAAGCATTCTGAGCACTTGGCTTGCAGATGTTCCGGGTTTAAGAGCGACTCATTGGGGGGGGGGGGGGGGGAGGGCAGCTGGATCTTGGGGCAGGGAGAAAGAACAGAAACCAAGGCTCATGTTTCTTGGCAAATACGGTGCTGTCATGGAAGGGGAGGCTGGTAAGGAGGAGACCTTTCCCTGGACCAAGGCTGCAGCCTTGCCCTTGGATTCCTCTCCTGGAGGAAAGCTGCCAGCAAGCTAAGGAGGCGGGTCTTGTAAAGCAGACTCCACCCCCTTCCCCCAGTTCTCCCTTTACCTGGAGCAGCGCCAGGCTGCAAGGTGGAGAGGCCTGTAGCTCCTCTCGAGAATGCTCTGCCTTTTGCAGTCCACGGCAGGCAGCTGCTAAGGTGTTTGCCTTATTACCCACAAGGAGTCCATGGTGGCCAGACCCTGTGCAATCAATGAGAGAGGGGGAAATGGTATCATTCTCATTTGCACAAAGCGAACATTTGCCATAGGGCCAGGATTACAGCACACTTAACTGAAGCTCACAGTGGCTCAGAGCAGGAGAGATGCTCAGGCCAAGAGAGGCCGTGGTGTAGGCAGGGCCATACTTCGTTGCCCTTCTTGATGCCCCCTGGAAATCAGACACCCCATAGCAGCGTATCATCCCCACAACTACACCTGCAAGTCACTCGGTCAGACAGCATTTAGCTTTAGCTTCCCCAATAAGAACAGGAAGCTCTCATTGGACAGTAGCAGGCTATGCATGTGGAAGTATCCCCCAGTGTTCCTGAGGCACTCACTGACAGAGACCCAGGCAACCCACTAGCCGCAGGAAAAGTTCCTTGGAAAGTACAGTCAGCATGTACTGCCTTAACACAGCCCCCCCCCCCCCCCCCCCCCCCCCCCCCCTGCAACAGCACAACACACTAAACAAAAATGGCCCAGGGAAACGGCATCTGTTGAGCTGGCCCTTCCCTTTGCCTGTGCTGAGACTGCAGCGCTTTTCCTCCTCTACATGGTGCTGCTTGCTGGGGCTGGGCTGATGAAAGGAGGCAGCGGAAACAATGGCAGGCAAGCCCCACCTACCAACAGGGGTGGAACCTGCTGCTCACCACCACTTGCATTCTTTTCTACTTGCAGTGACCATCGGAGTCCTCAGCCTCTGCCACCTGGACAGTGCGAACAGTCTAGTTCTTTCGCATGAGATTGTGTGTGGTGGGAGAACACTGAAATAAGAAAGGCCTTGCAAAGGAACATTAAGGCCTGCTTCAAAACAGATGGAAAGCTAGTTTAGCAAAGGTGCCACTGCTGGAACTGAAGCGTAAGAGTGCTGGCTCTGTTGGCCTTTATGCAGGTCTGCAGCTCCCCATACTGCATGGTGGCTTTACCTCCCAGGGCAGTCCCCTGGAGGAAGCTGTGCCAGTCCACGGCCATTCCAGCTCCTCCAGGATGTTTCTTGCAAGGCCTTTCTTATTCCAGTGTTCTCCCACCACAGACAAGTGGACTGTGTGCCCTCTTCTGCCTGTACCACTTGGGAACCTACCCTCTAGAGCTCAGGCACCTCTGCATGCACAAGACTGGCTCTTCTCTTGACTGAGAGGCAGTACAGCAAATTTTAGAGGGGGGAACCTGGAAACTATTCTATTTGTCCACTGGAGGGACTGGGGGAAGATTAATGTATTTGCAGTAATGGAGAACGCTTGATGCAGGAACTGGTTAGCCTGACCCTGGAAGCGCAACTCTGTAATCCTCCACAGACGGCTGGAGGAGCAAGATCTATTCCCCAGCTTGGTAGTGTTCAGCCCTGCCGAGAGGGCACTGCTCTGTAAAGCTATCACTTTCCAACCTGCATCATTCCCCAAAAGTCCCAACTCAATTTCCTTCATGGAAAACAGTCACCCCAGAAGGTGCCTCAGAGCGCCGGCCAGTTGTGTAGTAAAGGGGAAATTAAAAAAACACGACTGAATGAAGGAGGTCCTACATAATAATTATCTGTTAAAAGCTTCACACTTCTTTTAGCCAAATGTTGCTCCAGGTATCGAACTTGTTTTAAAAAGCATGAAAACATCCTCTCAGTCATGTGAAACTGAACAAACTGCAGTCTAAAATGGGAGAGACTGAGCCAATAGGAAGCTCTGATCTCACCAAAGCAAGGAGAGGAAATGGCGTGTGTATCTCCTTCAGACTTGATTTGAAGGAAGACTTGAAACAGAAGAAGATTGGATTTATACCCTGCCCTTCACTACCCAAAGGAGTCTCAGAGTGGCTTACAATCCCTTTCCCTTCCCCTCCCCACAACAGACACCCTGTGAGGGTAGGTGGGGCTGAGAGAGCTCTCTTGAGAACTGCTCCCAAGAGCCATGACCAATCCAACGTCACATCAGCAGCTGCATGTGGAGAAGGGGAATCAAGCCCGGTTCTCCTAGGTTAGAGTCCGCACTCCTAACCACTACACCAAACCGGCTATCAGGACTTCTGAGACCCCTGGTGGCTTTCTCTTTAAAACTGACTGTTATGACATTTCTTTTACTAAAGGTTTTTACGGCATGTCATTTGGCAGCAAGGTAGGGGAGTATCTGGGAGACAGCAGTGCGTGCCCCATTTACCTACAGACCACAAGCTGGGAAATAGAATTGAATTGCATTAAGCGGCCCATTCTGTGTAGCCCCAAGGGGTCCACTTCTGACCTGTCCTGAGTCCTGAGGCAGAATCCACTTTGACGAGACCTGTTTGGTTCTTGTCAGACCAGCCTCAGTGAGTCACACTTAAAAGGGCCTATTTGACAGCTGAAAAGAACATGTGCCAAAGACAGATGCCCATGCTGGGCTCTTGTCCTGGCAACTGTGTCCTGGAAGAGTGCTCCTAATGTTTCGTTTTTGAGATGACTATTGGTTTTAATCAAATCTGTTTTGGACCAACTGAACGAGCACTCTGAGGTGAACAACTGAACGAGCACTCTGAGGCCAGCACGAGGAAGAAGAAGAAGAGAAGAGATTGGATTTATACCCCGCCCTTCACTTGGAGTCTCAGAGTGGCTTACAAACTCCTTTCCCTTCCCCTCCCCACAACAGACACCCTGTGAGGTAGGTGGGGCTGAGAGAACTCTTGACACAAACTGCTCTTTTTCAAGGACAGCTGTGCCAGAGCTTGTGACTGACCCAAGGTCACATCAGCAGGTGCAAGTGGAGGAGTGGGGAATCAAACCCGGTTCTCCCAGATCAGAGTCCACACACTTAACCACTACACCAATCTG